GGGAGAGGTGAGGCAGTGGCTGGTATTGTATGCTTGCTCCCACCACCCTATCATCCTCCTCCCCAACAGCGACAGGCGCAGCAGGGTGAGCGGGGAAGAGGTGGGCGGTGGCTGGCACTGCATGCTGACTTCCGCCACCTCCTCTCCCTTCCATGCACATTAAAAGCCACGACAGAGCACTCGATTGGGCAGTGGCTCGCGCTCCACTCTCACTACTTCCACCCCCTCCGCCATGACCGCCCCCCTCGTTACAACAAGAGCAAGGAAAGGGGGAAGGTGGGGGGGGACGAAGGGAGGCATGGCAGGCATGGCAAGTGCAAACGCAGCTGCAGATGGCCCGGCATTTGTAGGCGCAACAACTGCAACCGCGGAAGCAGCAAGCGACAGCTGCAGGCTTGGCAGGCGCAGCCGCAACATCTGCAGTTGCGAGTGCAGCACGGCCGGCGGGGGAGGGGCTGGCGGGCTCGGCTTCTGGGGTGCGATGGGAGGCTAGGAAGGGGTCGACGACCAGCGCGAACACACCGCCGCACTCGTCACGACAGTCGTGCAGCAAGCCGCGACAATCACGACGGGGCTAGCGTGGCGGACGTGTCGGGGCCACGGAGAGGCGTGACAGGAGGACACGAAGGGGGGGGTGTCAATTAGTGAATATTTGTCTTAATTGCTTGTAGCATAATCTAGTGTAGTTATCTTTCCTGCTCTGTGGTGCACCTTCTTGTCATGCTTGCTCTTCCCTATTTGTACCCTCGAGCCTACAGTGAAACCCCTTCTTCTTGGCCAACTTTCTACCCTGGTCGATCTCCTTCCTAACTCCTAGGGTTAACATGTCTGCTAGGTTCTAAATCCTGTATTGACATGGTATCGAGAGCCTGGTTCGCCTAGGCCTGCTTTTTATTGTCGTTCATGGCGCCCCTCGTCGCACCGTACGTAGCGCTGCCACCCACGCAGCTTCCGCTCGTCGCGCTGCTGCCAGTGACGGGGAGCTAGGCGATGGCGAAAGCTGCGGCCCCGGTTCGGCCACATCGCTCGTCTCACTGGCCCCTTTTATCGCCACGTCGCGCTGCCCCGACTCCTGCCCGGTCGCGCTACACCGTCCCCCTGCCCTGTCGACCATAAAGTTGCCACGACTACAGCTCCTACGCTAGCGACGACGAGCGACGCAAAGGCGCTCATCGCGCCCCCCATTATGACCCCTTGTCCTGCTCGTCGCAGCCCACCTGCGATCCCGCCAGGGCCAACAGCATTTGCGGCTGCTTTGGGGGGGAGGGTGAAGGGGTGGGGGGAGTGTACCCGCAAGAACCAGCCGCCACCCTCCTCTCTCTTCTCTCTCCCTGCTGCATCTCTCATTGTGGGGGAAGTGGGGGAGTGTGAGGGAGTGGCGAGAGAGATTCCGAGCCAGCAGCCGCCCCTCTTCCTCTTTCTCTCACTACCGCGCGTGCCGCTGTGGGGGGAGGGTGAGGCGGTGGCGGAAGTCAGCCAGGCATCTGCAGCTGCCGCCCACTGCCGCCCGCTGCTACCCTGGCACCTCCTGCTGCTGCCCCTGCCTCTACCTGCTGCTTCTCCTGCTTTCTGCTACTGTTGAGCGGCAGGTGCTGTCGTTGAGCCCTGTTGTGCCGCCGCACGTTATCGCCGCACGCATCCGCTCTCGAGGCGACCTGCCTCTACATGCGCCTGCTTATGCTACTTCTACCTTGGCTGAGGGGTTGGTGCAGCTGAATCAGCCACCACTGCACTGGTTGCCACTGCTCTTGCCTACTATTGCTGCTTTCTCTGTTCGTGGTGTACCCATTCAGGAGGTGTTGCAGCACAAACTCATGTTTCAGGCAGTTTTGGGGGAGTGTTGGAACATATATGTAACTGCCTGTAGCTGAAGTTTAGTGTAGTCATTATAAATTGTTGGTGGTGCACCTTCTTTTCATGCTCTGTTTGCTATTTGTACCCCTCTCTCAATATTGAACTCCTCTTTGGCAATCCTCCTTCGACAAGTTCCTCTCGTCAGTCTTGACCTACCCCAAAACCCTAGTCCTAACTTTAACTACTATTTTGACATGTTACCTGGGTGTGGTTCTATTTAGGACCTACGTTCAAGGGCCCACCAAATCTGCCATCATAAATGTTGTTGGTGCGGAATCTCCTGCTATCGCAAAATTTCCTGCTAATGCGTTTCCTGCTGCTCATGTTGAACCCTGTTGCGCTGCCCATCGTGCAGCTGCTGCCCGTCGCACTTATGTCATCCGTCGCCCTGCTGCCCATCACGCATCTGCCCCGTCAGAACTACTCCACGCCTGCCCTCCCGTCGAACCTGCGGTTGCCAAAAAATGCAGCTGTCGCGCTAGCGACGGCGACCTACACGAAGGCGCTCATTGCAGCAACTGTTGCGGCCCCCCGTCGACCCTCGGTTACGCGCCCCCGTGCTTGTCAACCCACCCGCGATCTCTCCAGCGCCGACCACGCCCGTCGCCGTGGCTTCTGCTGTGGGAGAAGGTGAGGGGGGTGGTTGACGCCACTCTGTTGCTCTATTACGTCTTCGCCCGCCTTCTCCCTCTCCCTATTGCTCGTACAGTCGTGAAGGGGGTGGGGGGATGGTGTGGGGGTGGCGGATGTGTCACACCAGCAGCCGTCCCTCCACCTCTCCTCTCCCCTGCTGCTGCTCTTACTGCATTGGGGTGGGGGGGAGGGTGGGGGGGAGGTTACCATAATGCGCCAGCCTGCCTCCTCTCTCTTCCTGTCGCCCCTCCTGGAGTAGGGGGGAGGGGAGGGAAGGGTGAGGGGGTGGCAGGAATGAACGCTCTTCTTTGTGTGTTCCCGTTTTTTTTTTGTTTCCCGCATCTCTGCTTCTTGTCCGTGCCTGTCCTGCCTTCTATGTGCCTACAATGTCTGTCTTGCTGAACTCCCGTTGTGGGGGGGAGGTTTAGGGAAGGGAGGGGAGGTTGAGGGGGGTGAGAAAACTGAAACGAGAATGAATGCACTATGAAAGAGTTGGGTACAAGTACTAACCCTAATTGGGTTGTACCCTATATGGGCTACCCCACTACAGCCTACACAAAAGCATAAGCTATAATGTTCTGACACACCCCCATAGGCAAAGTAGGGGAGAACAAGGGGTCACAAGACCAGTCAAGCAAAGCAAAGCAAAGCAAGCTCAGGGTGGATCACAAAGTCACCACACATTCCGAGCACAAGGTCAAGGCCAAAAGGCCAGTTCACATGCAGGAGTACATATATATATAACAGGCTAGACAAGCAAGAGCAGGGTATATATATATGTAACAGTACAAGCAAGGTCAAGAGGTGAGCAAGTGAGGCAAGGCAGGCACAAGACCCAGCTGAGTACAGAAGCGCTGATGATCACAAGGCGCAAGTGCCTTGGTGAAGATATCAGCAGTGTTGGCCTCAGAGGCCACGTACGCAAGACGCAGCTGACCACGCTGCTGCAGCTCACGAGCAAGGAAGTAGCGAAGAGCTATGTGCTTCGTTCTGTGCTCCAGTCTCTGCTCTCGACACAAGGCCAGCATGGCCTTGTTGTCTACGTACAGCACTGTAGGAGAACAAGGCGGCTCTTCGAGGTCAGTCAGCAGGTAGGTGAGCCAGCGAAGCTCCTGAGCAGCCATGGCCCCGGCGTAGATCTCAGCCTCACAACTGGAGCCGAGAACAAAAGACGAGCGGGTAGCCCGCCACGAAACAGAGCCAGAACCAAGGCTGAAGGTGTAACCCTGTGACGACCGCTGCGTAGCCTGGTCGTCAGCCCAAGAAGCGTCTGCGTGCCCAGTGAGGACCACTGGACTCTACCCTCCAAGCACTAGCCCCATGCCCGACGTACTGCACAAGTAGCGCAACACCCTCTTCGCTGCAGCCATGTGCTCCGGTCTGTGTCTCCCAGGAGCAACATAGCGTGCGAGAATGCTAAGAGGGTATGCAAGGTCAGGTCGAGTGCAAGTCATCAGGTACATGAGGCAGCCAACAAGCTCTAGGTACGGGCCACTCGACTCTACGGACTCATCCGAAGGCAGAGCTGAGAGCGAGTGGCGAGTAGGCAGAGGAGTGGCCTGAGGCGAGGAGTACGTGAAGCCGAAGCGCTGAAGGACCTGCTGCACCATGTGTGACTGAGTCAGGGTAATGGTGCGGCGTGCTCTGTCCCGGGTGATCTGCAAGCCAAGGTAGCTGCGCAGTTCACCCAGGTCTGTGCACGTGTGTCTCTTCTGCAACTCGGACTTCACGTGGGCAAGTCCAGCAGTGTCAGTTGTGGCAAAGACCAAGTCGTCGACGTACATGAGGATGTAGAACGGCGGCAAAGAAGTGTCGGTGCGCAGAAACAGCGACGGGTCGGCAGTAGAGGGAGCAAACCCAAGAGCCGCAAGTGTAGTCCTCAGTGTGTCGTGCCACTCACGCGGTGCCTGGCGGAGACCGTAGACTGGCCGCCGGAGGCTCCACTAGGTGCCAGGAGGAAAAGACCCAGTGAAGCCAGGTGGGCGACGCAGCCAGATCTCCTCGTGCAGGCTGCCCTCCAAGAAAGCAGTGTTGAAGTCAAGAGAGTGTAGCTCGTAGTCACGGTGAGCAGCTATGTGCAGCAGTACCCGAAGAGTGGTCATCTTTGGGGTGGGAGAGAAGGTCTAAAAGTAGTCAACTCCCTGCCGCTGACTGAAGCCACGAGCCACGTAGCGCGCCTTGAAGACAGGTGGAGAACCCGGCGGTCGCTTCACTCTGAAAATCCACATGCCACTGACGATGTTCGCCCCAAGCGGGGGAACCTCGTGAACGTAGGTGCCTGTGGACTTCCAGGAAGCCATCTCTGCGTCCATAGCTGCCTGCCACTGAGAGGAGTAGGGACCCTCTATCGCCTCTGCGTAAGAGCGCGGAGTCGGGATGTCAAGTGCATCCGGGTCTCCCTCAGTGGTAAGGAGTACGGACACGAGATGAGGTGAAGCAGCAGCCAGACACTGGAACTCCTCCTGCGTGTCCTCCGTGCCCAGGTTACACTCACCCCCGACGGACGGAGGACAGACAGATTCAGACTTAGCAACAAGACTGGCGGCGTAGTCTAGGCGACAGCGAGCAGCAAAGTCGACGAGCTCAGCAACTAGGGCAAACGCAGCAGTGGACTCAAAGGAAGGGTCAGTGACAGCAGTAGCATGGAGACGCGTGACAGTAGGACTGGCAGCACGAAGAGAGTCCGACTCCGGGTCGGCAAGAGCAGGAAGAGAAGACTCAGGAGGAGAAGGTAAAGGTGCACGCAGAGGAGCAGTGGACGGACGCAGGGACATCCGGTGCGTGCCAGGGACAGGAGGAGGACGCTGACGCGAACCATGACCACTAGTGCGAGCAGGGCGGACAGGCAACGCAGGGCGAGACGCAGGCTCACGACGCTCAGCAAGACCTCCAGTAGGACCAGTGTAGGGAGAAGGAGCAGGTAGCAGGGAGGCCGGCTGTAACTGTGACGGGACAGGCTGTGGACACTCTAAGTGAGGAGAAGGACCAGTAGAAGGCGGGAGACCAAGAACCTGCTGAAGGAGCGGAACGAAGTACGGCCGAGGCCGCGCGGCGACTCCAGACAGAGCAGGGACAGCACCAGCACCCCCAGCGGTAGCACTAGCGCCAGGAGCACCTCCAGCTCCAGTACCTCCAGCAGCACCAGTAGTACCCCCAGTAGGACCGCCTCCAGGACCGACAGCAGTAGCCTCAGCACCAACACCCTTAGCAGCTCCAGCTCCAGTCGCACCCGCAGGACCAGCAGCTCCAGTACTCCCAGCGCGAGCACCCGTGGACCCGCGGCACCAGCACCCTCAGCAGTCGGAGAACCTCCAGCTCCAGCAGCATGCCTCAAGCGCTGGGCAAACCACTCACGCAGCTCCTGTGGAGAGAGGGGCTCCCATCGAGACGAAGTACCCGGAGAACCTCCAGGCCCAGCACCGCCAGACGCCACACGAGTAGGCCCAACCCCCTCAGGCTCCGCACCTCCAGGCTCAGCACCCCCTGGCGTAGCACCCCCAGGCTCAGGACCCTCAGGCGTAGCACCCCCAGGCTTAGCACCCCCAGGCTCAGCACCCCCAGTCGCAGCACCCCCAGGCTCAGCACCCCCAGTAGTAGCACCCGCAGTCTCAGCAACCCCAGGCGCAG